TGTAATACAAGAGAGAACAAGCAAAAGTAAAAGAGGTGGTAAGAAGGGCAAAAAGGCAACATTGGAGAGATGTCTGTGACAGAATAGGGAAAAGTACATCAATAGAAGAGGTATGGAATATGATCAGAAGGATGAATGGAATAAGGAAGGAGACAGAATATCCTGTTTTAAATGAAGGGGAAGTCATAACAGTAGAAAACAGTGAGAAAGCAGAAATGTTTTGTAATACATTTATAAAAGTAAACGGTACGGAAAATCTGACTGAAGAATTTAATAGGGAAAGGGAGGAAATATTAAAAGAGCATCCTCATCTATTGGACAGATGGGGATAAACAATTATAGATGTATACCAAGAGTAATGTATCCACATAACCCCTTATGGATTCTTCCTCAGCCAGTAGTAGATTTAACATTACTGAAGATAAGACAGAGAGAAGGAAGTAATGAGATGGAAGTAATGAGAGCAAAGGAGTATTTAGGGCTTATGTATGGAAATAATATACGGATATACACAGATGCCTCCAAAAAAAGAGGGAGAGTAGGAGTGGCAGTTAATGTGCCAAAGTTACTGATGAAGAAAAAAAGCTAGAATAAGTGATCAACTGTCAGTATAAACAGGTGAATTGATGGCTATTCTGCTAGCAGTAGAACTAATTAAGGAAAGAGAAATACAAAATGTGTTGGGAACAAGGAATGAATAAACATAAGAGTTTTGGATGGGTTGTAGAAGAAGATATTAAGGAGATGGGGATAAACAATTATAGATGTATACCAAGAGTAATGTATCCACACAACCCCTTATGGATTCTTCCTCAGCCAGTAGTAGATTTAACATACTGAAGATAAGACAGAGAGACACCTATTGCAGCAATGCAAGTAGAGATAAACGAAATGCCGCTTTATATTAGAAGGCAACAGTTAATGGCTGTATATTGGACAAAACTTAAGAGTCAGGATGAGTCAGAGTCAGGTACATCCAACAAAGAAAATACTAGGAATATGTTGGGAACAAGGAATGAATAAACATAAGAGTTTTGGATGGGTTGTAGAAGAAGATATTAAGGAGATGGGGATAAACAATTATAGATGTATACCAAGAGTAATGTATCCACATAACCCCTTATGGATTCTTCCTCAGCCAGTAGTAGATTTAACATTACTGAAGATAAGACAGAGAGAAGGAAGTAATGAGATGGAAGTAATGAGAGCAAAGGAGTATTTAGGACTTATGTATGGAAATAATATACGGATATACACAGATGCCTCCAAAAAAAGAGGGAGAGTAGGAGTGGCAGTTAATGTGCCAAAGTTACTGATGAAGAAAAAAGCTAGAATAAGTGATCAACTGTCAGTATATACAGGTGAATTGATGGCTATTCTGCTAGCAGTACAACTAATTAAGGAAAGAGAAATACAAAATGCGGTCATTTGTTCAGATTCATATTCAGCAATAGTCATTGATAACCAAAAATCAGAATCAAGGCCAGATTTAATCATGCAATCCTTCAAAATCTCTTTGAGTTAAAACAATGTAGAATAGAAGTACAGTTTATGTGGGTTCCAGCCCATGTGGGAATTAAAGGAAATGAAGAAGCAGATAAATTAGCTAAGCAAGCAGTAGATGATGAAATAGTAGAAATTGAGCTATCACATAGTATAAGAGAAATAAAATCAGTAATAAAGGAGAAAGTGATTAAAAAGTGGCAACAGTATTGGGATAATGAGACTAAAGGGAGACATTTATATGCAATACAAAAGAAAGTGGGAGAAATAGGAGGGAGGAAAGTATAATTACAAGACTAAGAATGGGACATACAGGTTTGAATAAAACATTACATTTAATATCTAAACATCCAACGGGATTGTGTGAGAAATGTGGACAGAGTGAAACTGTAGAACATGTGATTATTAATTGTAAGGGTTATGATGAAGAAAGAGAAGTGCTAAGAGAAGAAGTATGGATGAATGAAGGAAAAGAGTTAACATTAAAGAATATATTAGACTCAGATATAGGAAATAGTACGGTAAATGTGCTGTTTCAGTTTCTGAATAATACAGGCTTAATGAAGAGAATGTAGGATAAGTATATATAGAGAGGTAGAAGATGCTGATATACTATGGGTAGAAGGGAAAGTATATCTGAAGGTTAAATAAGGATACAGTGGGATATTGGGATTTAAAGGGAATTGGGGTGGAAACTGGAGGAGCTGAACAGGCAGGTGTGTGTGTGTGTTCACTGCTGTGTGTGTGCACTTAGGATGGGTTAAACGCAGAGCACTAATTCCTAGTATGGGTAACCATACTTGGCCACATGTCACGTCACTTATTTGTTTATTTTATTTTATTATTATTATTTTTATGTTTCTGATCCAAGCTACCTGATGATGGCAGTAATGCACTGTTAGGTGCGGTTGCCAGTAAAAGAAAGACGAAGAAGAAGAGAGAGGTTGGAAGCAAGGAGTAGCAGGACTTAAGGTATGTAAATATGGACGTCTTATTTAACAAAATTTCTACGAATATTTCCGGCAGAACTTAGTATTATCCCTTGAACTCGCTTTCAAGCGATAAGGAATTAGCTTTTTCCGCGGCAGCAGTCGTTTCCAGATTTTGGTGGACTCAATGGCTGTCTCAGAACCGGGTGAGCTGCTTACCTAGACAGCATTTTGGGACATCTCAGTCGCGTTTGAATGTTTTCCGAAATGCTTTCTAGGACGGCAGCGCACAAGGTTTCGAAACACAACCGATGTTAGCTTCATTGCTAGTGAC